CTGCTGTAAAAAGGAATAAAGGCATAAAACCCATCAGCAAAATGTAGACAAAGTAAAAATTACCACCACCAATGACTGAGTTTAGTTTCAGCTCTGGCGTTGAATCTGTTGAGCACATGACATCATGTTGAGCTGAAACTCGCACTGCCAGCTGAGTTACATCAGCATATCAATGTTAGTTTACCTTCTGGATTACCAACCAGTCGGCTGCAGCACAAACTCATGCAAGAGCAGCTCTCCACACAAACAATAAAAGTAAATCATGGTTAAAGTCTAATTTTTTTTTCCACTCTGCATGTGTCATCGTTGGAGCCCAATCAAAAGTAATAAAGAAATCATAAAAATGTGTTTAATGGTACTTTTATTGATAAAAGCAATCACAGGGTAAATACATTCGACAGATCATAAAACATTTCAGCACCCCAAAGTGCAAAGAATAAGGACAATACATATCAATGTTGTCTGGTTAGAATGTGGCTTGATACAATCTGTAGCTAAAATATGTGTAAAAAAAACAAAAACATTTCATATGGAAAAAGAGAAGCCAGAAGATCAGCAGCTGGTCAAACTCAAATGTTCCCAAGAAAGTGTTTTAACTTAATTCAAAGGAGGATAAAAAGGGAACCACATGTAGACCAAATATTCTTATGTGCACTGTAGAAGAATCCATATCCATCCCTACGCTTATTCACATTCATCTACATTTTCTGAAAACAAAAATCTCTTGCTGGATGCATTTTTATATGGAAAACAAAAAAAGTATAAAACTGAATTACAGAAAAGTGAATAGGATCAGTTTCATAATCCTCTCGTAGTGTCAGACGATCACATATTGGATGTAGATGGAGATAACTCAGAACAATATCTGTAACTGATTAACTATGATAAATATTCCTCTGCAGCGAGGCGGACTTTGGCCTGCAGAACCACCAGCCATCTGCAGCATCTGCACAGACTAATGCACTACTGCGTGGCGCAGTTTCACAAGAAAAAGCTGAACAGCACACAAATCCAAAAGTATATTGTGTACACTTCTAATCAGGATTACATACAAGTACTTGTTTCCTTACAGGGGCGGGGGGAACCCTGCAGTGGTGAATAATATTTGTATAAAATAGTTGGTTCACAGCTTCACTGAGTCTGCAGAGCCTGGGCAATGTTCAGGCCTGGGTTGGGGGGCAGAGCCCAGCCCCCCTCCTGGCCCTGGTGGTTCTGCAGCAGGGTGTACAGCTCCTTCAGGTGGCTCACTATATTGTCCTTTATATCTGGGATTGAAATCTGCAGGCGCACGCTGCTGCTGTCAAAAGAAAGGTTGTTGTCTCCAGAAAACATCTCGCTTATCATCCGAGCCACCACAGGAATGACCTGAAAGGATGAAGAACAAGGAGTGTGAGAGGAAAACGGAGGACCATCTAATGAGTCCAGTCTGCACGAGCAAAAGACAAATTTACCGTTACATTCATCATGATTTTTCGCTTTTGATTCATTCTATACTTTTTTTTTTAAACCAATCAGCAGTGAGAAACTTTTAAAGGGGCAATTTTATGCATAACCTTTTTTTTTTTTTTTTATTTTTTAGCTTTACATCATGCTATAATTCCTCCGTTAAAAACACACCTGCAGTGTTTCCTTGATTATTTCATGCATGTCTGAGAAATCCTTTAATCTCCCATGGCAACCATTCAGCCATGCAAAACGCCTGAAGCGCTGCCTTCAAGATGTGCTCAGAGAGGGACTGTCATGTCAAATTAAATTAGAAATTCTCCACAACCTTTAGGTGCAGACTACTTGACAGCATGTCATCAGGAAGGCAGACCAAAAAAAACTAAATTGTCCCATCACAAAAACAAATGTGGTTTTCTAAACTGAAGTCGAAATGCAAGTTGAACTTTGATGTTTGGTGAGATAAAACTGGGACTGAATATGTGGCAAAGTGCCTGGTAAGCATGGTGGAGGATCTATGATGCTGTGGGTCTGTTTCTCCTTTGAAAGTAGAATGGCATCATGCATTTTCCAGGTACATGGTGCTATTTATTAGTCATAATGTGATCTTCAGTTGTTAGAAAAATGCTGCAAAATTTCGCAGTGCGATGTGTTGAAATTGGCCTCCGTTTCTTTAAGAAGCTCCTACTCTGACACTCCACCTTCACATCAATGAACCTTTATGAAGACCATTGATTCCTTAAAGTTGTAGTTTATGAGGAGCCCAGCAGGCTCACAAGCATTTAGGCTCCCTGAATGGCTGCAATGGAGATTAAAGTCAAACATGCATTAAAGACTCAAAGCAACACTGCAGGTGTGTGAAGGAATAACTGACATGATATGAAGCTAGAAGAGAGATTTTACATAGTACTGGCCTTTTAGTGCGCGTGTCACATTAATCTCAGATTAGAGAGCTGCTCTTTTAAACAAATCAAGCATGAAAACTCAGCAAGATCTGCTGGTAATCCAGAATAACAAACACCAGCCTCATCATGAGCAGCAGCTGGAGGAGAAGTGAGGAGTTGCTGGGTTTTTATGAAATCAAAATGGTGTTATATCATAAGTTCTCAGTTTTGGCTATTATTTAAGTTAAAGTCCTGTATTTTTCACCTGGACCATGATGAGTTTTCGCTCTTTGGGTCTTCCATCGGGCCATTCCTCTCCAAAGCAGAGGCTGATTTCAAACTGAGGAGGGCTGGTCGCCTGGCCACGCTGCTGCGCTACAACACCTGCATAAATAAAAAAAATAAAGGAAAACTATAGTTATGATGTCACTCTAAAACCTCATCATCACAGGGTTCCTACACACACACTAACGTTTTTAGAACTTTGAATTCTTCTGCAGCCCAGACTTATATTTATTAACTGATAAATGGATCATAAAAACATGGGCAGATAAACATAAGATGAACTGATGTGTAGATGGATGATAGAGATTTGTAGGACAAATAAATCAACCATGGATTGATGGATCGATGATTAATGGATGGACAAACAGATCAATCCAACTATTGGACAAAGAAACAGGAAATAAAGTCTGTCCAAAACTGGAAAATACTTAATTTTTCAATATTTTTAGACTCTGTTACTAATATTCCTCATGGCCCCTATAGGTTGTGGGTACAGATGACACACATTGATATTTGTCCTCTGATGGTAAAAATATTGCATAAAATGGTAACACTTTATTTGAAGTCGTGTGCATAAGACTGACATGACGCCGTCAAAAACATGACCTGTCATGAACATCAAGAAGTCTTTATGAATGTTTATGACAAATGAAGTGTCATTTGGTAAATAATGACACTTTTTATG